CTCAGAAAATTCAGTATTTTATCACCTATTTACAAGATTTTAACAGTATCTTATTTCAAAAGTGAAAACTGAATTATAAATTAAAAAAACTACAAATGAAAAGGCAGGACAGGACATCTGGGGACAGGACAGGACAGGACAGGCCAGGCCAGGACATTCAGCTGTAAAAACTGAAAATCTCTGTTCTCAACCACTTCACTTGGAAACCTGAAAATAAAAAGTAAATATTTATCTATATCACCTGAAAAATTAAGCTTTTGCATAATTTTGGCATAACACAGCAATTTAACTCATTAAATATGTCACTTGTGTTACACCAAAATCCTGAGAAAGACAAGGCTACATTGTTTGATATTTGACCTATAAGTTGCCTACTTCCTAATGCTGTAGACCTTATGGTGAAAAAAAGGAATTATTTTGAATTTCTTAATACGTTTCCATGTGCACAATTCTTCTACAATAGCACCTTCAACTAAGCCAAATGTTTTCTGGATTAAATGAGAGTGATATGCACCCTTTCTACAATTACAGATCCGTCTTCCTACCGTCATGTTCCAAGCTGTCTTCACATGAGCTCAACTTGCTTTTCAGTCTCCTGTCTCCAGGGGCTAAATTAGGAGCTTTGCTATCTTTAATTCCTTTTAAGCTGTTAGAGAAAGATAAGCAATTCCACATGATAGCCCAAGATTTAAATGACTACAGTAGGAATCCCAAACAAATGCAGAACTACCTGCAGCCAGGTAGGCTTAATCCAGGCCAGACATCCTACAAGAGGATCTATGATCAAATAATGGTGCTAGGACATATCCATAAATTCCAACTGTCACCAAAACTTCATGTAAGTTCTTTCAGAAATAAACAAACTTTTAACAGAATAAATAATGGCTTCGGGATTTAGTTCTATATAGCAGCAACCATTTGAAGCAAGAGAAAAACATGTAACAGAAATCTGGAAATCTGCTTATTCTCTCCATGGATCTAAACACCATAGGGAAAGTATGTGTTGAAAATCTACACTGATGTGAAATAATCAACAACACCTATAGCTTTTGAAACACATATAGGACCTTCTCCACATGCAGAAATCTCTGCCAGAAGAATCAGTATACACTATGGAACAGAATCTAGTAACAAAGAAAAAAGATTATTGTGTCTGACCTGGTTTAAAAGGATTTTAAGTGCTCTTGCTGGTCACTTAATACTTTGGACTTAGTCTCCCACTGGTGCATTTTTGTCAGCCAAAGGTAGAATGGGAAGTGCATCAATGTTTAATTCCATTTTGGCCTCCTTGTTCCATCCAAGAGCAGGTTAAGTGCAGCATTGCTTGTACAAGCTATATCCATACTTTGGCAATACAGTGTATCAGTACTCCGATGCTATAGTAGATATGGCTGTATGCCTAACAGATACACCCATAGTAAAGGAAGATTAGGGAATGATCTTGACTACTAGAATCAAAATCGACCCTACTGCCCAACTGTTGGTTTGCTCTCTGGCTTCTGCTTGGACTCTACACATGGCTGTCTCCAGATCAGTTCATTTAAAGCCTCCTTGAAAAAGGAGATGTCACAGCATGAGTTTTGGATCCCTCTGTAGTGCATAAAAATTATCAGAATTTCTACCTCATAGATCAGAACATCTTAAACCGTAAAAACCACATTCACAAAACACCATGGTCAAAGACTGGATTCAAAGTTACTTGAATCAGTGTAGAAATCTTAGATTCCAATAAGCTTTGAAACCAGAAGCCAATCTTGTGTCATTATCTAAGCCTTCTCTAGCTTCTGAAATGGATCTGTGCGAGTGGTATAAACTAAAGGATAAATCATACAACGCACTACTTGTGCAGACTAGGAGAGGGTACCATAATAAAGTGGGAAACCAGTGGCTTTTCCAGAACACTTGTCTATCTTCTCCAATACCAATTCAGTGTGAAGTACGTGACTCCAGCATTGAGTAGTAAGCCATTCTGAAGACAAAATGAACCAGGCAGATAATCCCAGGGGCATGATTTTAAACAAAGATAGGTTTTGCCAGCCAAACCAAGTGAAGCAAACAAATGAACTCAAACTGACAACCCTCATGACAGTAACTTCTAAGTTTTGAGAGTTAATCATGTTGCATTTTGACAGATTACTGATGAAATCTTTCAGATTTGCCTTGTCAGTCATTTATTAGCAGGCATCTAATGAATAGCATATAAAGTAGACTTGTTAAGTATAGTGCCTGCTGACAGTTCAATTTAAAAGTGAAGGGTATAGAAAATTCACTACAGAGTAAGTGTCAGTTTTTCCACAGGAAAAGCCTACTTTGTGTTAACAGGTCTGGTAGGGCTATTCTCCATCTGTGTGACCCCAGCTGCCAAAGGGATACTACAACAGTTAGCAAGGAAATGGTCAAGCGCTCAGGGGAGAGACAGGTAAATATCACTGGAATGATGACATCATCATAATTTCCTTGCTTAGGAAATATAATGAAAAGACACATCCTGAGATGTATCAGTTATATTTGAAACTGCTTTATTTCAATTTTTTATTTTACTTTATTTACAGAGGTGAGTTCAGTTTTGGGCTGTGTCACAGAATCACAAAATATTTTAATTTAGAGGGGACCCAAAAGATCATCAAGTCCAACCCTTAAGTGAATAACCCATATGATTTATGATATGAATTATTATTCCCATTAATTTATCTTTCTGCCCAACATAATATAGCATGTAAATAATATAATTTAGCATAAAATTTACAACACAAAATGCATTTTTACAAAATGTTTCCTAGTGACTTTGGAAACGAGGTCTAACAAAAAACAAAAAGTCCTTGCTGAACATTCAAACCCTTAAGGGAAGAGATTAAAGCAGATCCAAAGAAGACTCTATTGATACTTTTTATATTGAAATATTTATCTTCTCATACATAAAAACACATCTTTGCTAAAAAGAGCACAATAAGACAAAATGACTGAAATGCTGCATAAGACAAAATGACTGAAATGCTGGAAGAGAAGAGTTTATTTTGAGAAATGGCTAAAGCACCAATTTTTTTCTTTTTTTTTTTTTGGTGAAGGAACTTCACAGGTCTTCTTGCACAGTCTTCTAATTTTTTATCTATGTTGATTTAAAAAATGGAAACTCAACTAGTTTTACAACTGTATGTCTCAAACAGGATATCACATTCAGGGACAAGTGAAATAAGAGTAGATAGAGTTTGCTGATGGGCAGGCTAACACTAAGGAACTTTCACCTCTCTGCACCTGGCCTTTTCTATACCTTTTGGTTGTTTACCTGTTACTTGATAAACTTATTATGGTTATGAACTGGGATTTATTGCTGTCCTCCATCATGGCATGAAAGCAGACTGGTGATAGAAGACTAGAAGTAGAATAAAAGCACCTCAACTAAAGTAGGCAAATGAAAAATACAGAAGGCATTTCAGCACAGCTTAACCTAGCCAGAAATACAATAGACCATAAGGAGATGCTCATAAAGAGACACAGTCATCATAAAAGCACAATGATGGCCCTTTCATGGTGTTGAATATTTTATTTAATAATCAGCTATATTAAATAGTCTACAGTGGCTTCCTAAGAGGAAGAGCTGAATAGTTTTCAGAAAGTGATAGGAAGATGTGAAGAATACTAATTTTCTAGAAAGCATAATTTTTTGAGAGGTACCTCTTTCATATGAGAAAGAAATAAAAAAAGGAGAAATTTCCAAAGCTTGAGTGGATTTGAAACTACTGTTTCTAATGTGATGTTGGAAAGTTCAACACATGCAAAGAGTCCTTGATTCTAACAGTGATTCTAGTGGTGATTAGAAATTAATCATTATTAGAAAAATTAATATTAGAAATCTGTTAAAAGGTGCAATAGGTAAAAAAAGCTTCATACTCTGATGCTGTACATTTAGATGTACTCAGGAAACTCTAAATCCAAGTTTAAAAGAGGATTTCTGGCATAAGATGGACTAAAAGTGTATATTTGGCTGTAAATTATTAACCACATTACTTAGAAATAGTACCATTAGAGGAAAACAGCTATACATATGATTCTACATATGCCATTACTACTTCCTTGAGCAGTTCTGCCTGCTGTCTGAAAATAATTAGCAGTTTCTTACCGATTCTCATACTGCAAGTAAAACCACTGAGGTGACTCAGGAGACTGAACACCTTTCTAGTGGTCTAGGATTCCTTTCTGAAGCTCAGTATGCTTACTAATAGTAGTTACATCCTATTACACATAACATTTTCAATATTGCTAAAATTTATGTATTTAATAAGTGTTAGAAGTAGCAGTGGGGAAGGATATTTTATGTAACTTTAGCCAGAAAGTTATACCTGAAGTTTTAATATAGATTTTTCACTGCAGACACAGGTATATGTTGCACGAAAAACAGACACTGAACAGTAAGGCAAGAAATACTATCTTATACAGAACAGAGAAGTTTCAGCTGTTTCCATGCCCACAGCAGACTAAAATGTGGTCCTCTGAAAAATTACAGATACTAGTACTCCATGACTTTGCAACCTCTACAACCATTATCACCGTGTAGACTGCTGCCAAATTACACTTCCATATTTAAAATAAGAGTGGCATTTAATATTCACTGGGAAGGATATGACTGAAACATGGGAATTCAACATCATGGATGTTACAATCTCTTTAGATTTAAATATCTTTCTTATATCTCAAGCAGGATAAAAAACTTGGAGAATTGAGACTGCAGATATTTATTTGTAAAGGACTTAGTATGCTTCTGAGAATTAGAATTTAGTATCTCAGATCCTGAGGCTACTCTTTTTTCCCCACTCAATCTTTACCTATAGAAAAAGAAAAAAGGTCTTCCTTCATACATCTACAAAAACTAAATGAGGTCATAAGTGTGTCCAATGAAATATGAATTACTTTTAAGAGGTCCTTTAGCACAGAAGCTCATTAATTTAACAAAGGAACCTACAAAAAATCATCCTTCAAAAGGAAGATGTTGGCTCTGACTCTACCTTCAGTTCAATGAACTCAGCAGCACAACAGCTGCTCCACCAAAAGTCACAATGAATGCTGGCCACAGCAAGGTTTCATGTGATAAACAGTCAAAAGAGTTTTCAGGGCATCTATCTGATGGCTGCGTGCATCTGTGTCTTCTCCAGGACTACCACTTCTGCCTACTGTCAAAAAAGGAAACAGGAAAAGCCCTGTAAAAATCAGTTATTCTCCTGTGAAAAATATCCAAGCCAAATAATCTAATACAAATAAACTCAACTCTCCAGCATAACTTCTGATATGTACAGCATATATGCTGTACATATCACAAGCTCATAGAGGTAATTGTTCATATTCTTCACAAACCTATAGGTTGAAAATGAGCAGTTAAGAGGGACATGTACTCAAAGGGGGGAAAAAAGTCCTTTTAAAATGTTTTTTAAAAAGAATACACAATTTAAAATAGAGTCATACCAACTTAATTGTGCATAGAACTATTTTAAACATTTTTGAAATTTCAATATTAAGCATTCACTGATAGCAAATGCTAGAATTATTTCTACCTGGTGGATTTTTTCTTATTAAAAATTAAAATCAGTTCTTTGCAAACTTTCGCCATTTGTTTTTACAAACTGTAGACAACAAATTATGCAAATCTGCAGATTTACATCTAATTTAAGTAGTTGTAGTGTAATTTGGTTTTAGGAGCTTTCTCTGATAGGTAATAGAATGAATGTGCTGAACTCAGTGTCAACATTGTTTTGGCTGAAAGCTGGACTCAGTGCCATTTCCAGAAAGTTATCTGTGGAGTTGCTGATCTTGGAGAGGATTAGAAGTATACAGAGAACCAAAAAGTAGCTGTATAAATTCCTCAAAAATTATAAAAAAATCCCAGCAAAAATTGCTGTGCTCACAGAGAGATAAAAAGCAAATTGAATGGACATCAGCAGCCAATCTCATATGTATCCAAACAGTAATTTAAAAATCCACCAACTTCTCTGCCTGAAGAGGCTGCCAAAGCACAAAATCATTCATTAAAACAAATACTTTAGACAGTTTGATAGCCAGATCTGTTACAGTTTTGACAGTCCAACGACTAAAACAAAAAAGAACAAGAGATATTATATGGCACTTAATCAAACTTACCTAGAGTAAAACACACTTCCCTACTTTGCTACTTTAAAAGGACTACAGGACCCCCAAGTTTTTTTACAGCAAACATATTTTTCATCCATAATTTTGTAATTCTGAGGATCAGATTTTCTGTGAAGTCTTTCCTTCTGCAAATGTTTGTTGTACTAGAAAGATCAGACTAAAACTGTCAGTTGCTAATGCATTTCAGAAAAGCTAATGAGCTGATGTAGTTGGTGTGGAGGTGGCTGTACCCCATCTCTTCTGAATCAACAGCAGGTCTGAAACTTCTCAACAGCCCAGACTGGTGGGTCAGTTAAACCTAGCATAACTTCAGGTTCATAATTTTATGATGGCTATCATTAAAAAAAAACCCATCATACTTCAAATCATTCAAACACATATAAAGATACAGATGTAGTGGAATAGCAGAGTAAATAATTTTTTCTTACTCTCAGTCTGGGATCCCAGAGTTGGCAATAGTGATAGTTACTGGATACTTTTCAAGACTTTGTTCCAACAGTTTGAAATCCATGTATGTGTGGCACTGAAAGACTCCACTTCCCTTCATACTCTGCAAATCCTCTTCTTTACTCCTTCATTCTAGTGTGTATATAGTCACATTATGGTCACGATAGCTCCTCAGATAGCAGGATTATTTAAGGAAAGCCATAACAGTGTGTCTGCTTTTGTTCAGATTTGTAATCCAGATTTATTTAATTTTTTAGATAAAATATACAAGTACCTAATTCCCCATTCAGCAGCTTCAGTCATTTGTAGCCAATTGATTCGCTTGTGGATTATACCAAGCCACTCAAACAAACAGGGCTTTATAATTTAAAGTATTTTATGTAGATATTACCAAGCAGATAGACTTGTCCCTGTCACCTTTCTGGTTTATATGTTTTCTTTCCAACAATGAATTTTAGCTACTATTACCATGTTGGCTGTTATTCATATTTGGTTACCCACGATAAATACTGCTCAACTACACTTCCATGAAGTATAGTTCAAACCCCCCCATGTGGGGTTTGCAACAAAAGCAAAAAATGTTCAGAGAAAAATGATTTAGTCACTACAGCTCTTGGCAGTTGGTCAGCCTTTGCCTGCTGAAAGATTAAAGGAAATGTATCTTGCTCTGAGTAAGGAGTGAGAAAGGAAGAATCTCTCTTAAAAGCAAACGTTATCTAAACTATGGATCAGCTTGAATAGTGTTTCAAGATGCAGTTTAGAAGGAACTTGATAGATTTCACCTCATTGGCTGAATAATTTATTTTCTGTCAGCCAAAACAATGTTTGTAAACTGTACTGCCTGGTGACTGATGATGCCAAGGGCAAACAATGAACAGAGAATAAGAGAAGAGACGAAAAGAAGCTCTGCTGGCATAATGAGGAGAAACAGTCCTTCATCATCCTATCAGGGCTACAGCTCTGCAAGTTATAAATCACTGTCCTCTGCCTCACAGCCTGGGATAAGCATAGCACAACAAATTCATTAAAGTAAAGCATTCAGAGTGTTGCATGTACTTTTACGTGGTGACAGGTATGTTTTCCTGACAGCTTTACAGAAATACTTCTTTTGCTGGAATGCAGATATAAACTGAGCTGTGTTCATGATATACATTAATATCTAAGCAACAATAAATGTGAAGCACACTTTACGTGATAGTGTAAATCAGTTTCAACACCATTTTGAACTAAACAGTGCTTTTTCATTGCCTTTATGGCAGACTTGGAAGACAGGAGCACTCTACTGGGTCTCATTTCCTTTTGAATAATTTAAACCAAATGAAGATTGTTTTATGATTTGCTGCAATTTGAATCTCTCAAAGTAAGTTTAATAAGAAAGTTACTGACTTAAATTGTCTGTTTGGCAATCAGGATATTATTAAAACTAACTATAAAAAGGGCTCTGGACTTTCAATTTTTGCTATTAGGAATTAATTGTTCTTTGATGAGATTCGTATAACACCATCATTTTAGACAGATAGATAGATACATACATATATATATATATATTTACACCTAGTAATGAAAGAGATTCTTTAACCAGTGATGATAATGAACAGCTCTTCATTGAACAGTGTATATCAAAATACCTATGCCCTCTGATGAACAGACCACTTTTTGTATTATTTCTCATAGTTTATTTCATGCATTCAGAATCACGGTCTGCAGGTGAAAAGCGATTTCAAGGCAAATTGTCAAACTGTCTTGACATTAAATCTTATTTATATTTCAAAATGATTTGTATATATATCCATCAGGTAAAACTAAAATTAACTCCTTTGGCAAAATTTCTCAAGCAACTATTGCCACCATGGTCAAATGTATCTATCCTATTTACCATTTCTCATTTCATAAATCAGGAAAGAACTAAATGTGGCTTTAAGGACATTTAGTTTTCTCGTGCATGTATTTGATTTAGTCCGAACCAAAAACCACAAGAAACTCAGTGTGCAGTATCATAAATCGGTAACACTGATTACTAAATGTCTTCTGTCATTAAGCACTCATAGTAATATTTAAATTCAAATATAAAACTGACAACTCAACTAGTGCTTTCATACAAAAATACATAAATAAATTATTTATAATATAGCAATTGAGAGAAAGTTGAGAATAGGTTGTTAAAAATCTCCTATTAAAACCCCAAAGCAATTGGAAAACATATTCTTAGATTTTGGTTTGGAATACAGTGTACTAATATTAACACTTTATACTATGGACATCTTGATAAATACCTAAAAAGCTCTGCTGACCCACTGGAACATGCAGTCATGTAGGCTTCAGGAGCACACACACGACAAACTCTGCCAAATCACCCAAAGTTTTAGGAAGATTAGATGGAAAAGATTCAATATCTCATAAGCAATCAATTTTTTACTGCATACTGCATGTCCTTTGGTAGCTACTTCTTTGTTTAGTTACTTCAACTTTACTTTGCTCTCTCTTTGTTTTAATTGAAATGGAAATAACATTGCTAGTAAACCACTATCTCTGGGCTTCAGATTACCTGTGTTCCCAGAGGACTTTTGAAATTCAAATATGGGCACTTGTTCTGAAAATCTCTAACTATGGTGTACCAGGGGCCACAAAGTCTGGCACTGAGCTGTTCGCATAGAGAAGACTACAGGACCAAGGTTACATTACATGGTGCAAGTGGTTGTGTTAAATGCTATTTCTGAAGGGAGGATGTAAACCACCAAAATGTACTTACCTACTAAACACTTTTCCTCACTCTGATGAGCCCTCCTCTAAATGAATGGCAGCAACAAAGGGAAGCTTTAGTCCTCAAGTGCAATTAGGTCATAACTGACTAAAATCCTAATGCCTCTACAGACATTTGTTGTGCACAGAGCATAGAAGGGTGCTCTATAGTCAAGCAGAACAAAGAAGCATCAACTCAATCCCTTTCAAACAAAGAAGTAATTTCAGAAAGCAAGCTGGACTTTGTAATGAGTTACTACAAAGGGCAGAGCTCAAAATTCCCCTTGGTGCAATGAAGCCCCATAGGGTCAAATAGTGAGAAGCCAAAAATCACTGGATGGGGAGTGGGCAAAAGTGGTGAACACTTACATGGTGAAGGGGGAAGGGAGGAGAGAGAAGAACATCTGTTATCTGCAGGTTCTAAGAAATCTAAACTGCTTAATTGCAATCTCTAATATACATGATCACTGTGCTAACTAGTAATCAGAAGGAGGAGAACTGGCGTGGCTGTGTCTCTTTGAATAAACCAGATTTGATCTGGAGAGAAGGACTTAAAGGCACAAAAAACATGTGGAAAAGTTTCAAATGTGGGGAGACTGATGAGATGTTAGTGGTCATCTCACACAGGCTGAAGTAAAATATCCTTAGAGCTTCTGTGAGATACAGATAATGTCCAACAGCATAGGATATTTCTATATCACTGCCCTTCTAATCCAAGGATTAGAGACCAGAAATCATGAATTGATTGCAATCATTGCAGAGAAACAGACAACACTTTCATATATTTATGTAAAAAATATTTACTTCCTCAAGACTAGGAAAGGCTGGGAGGAAAAACACTTGGAAAGGAAAATTTAAACAGAAAAATGTGTGTGAATCTCAAGACAAGCTCTTTAGCTTGGGATATTGGGGTATTATTGTCATAGTTCCCCAAACAAGAAGGGATAAGTACAGCTGAAAGCTCTTCTGGCTCTGTAGCAAAGTAATGAATAGCAGTTAGAAATACAGTAATCATTTATGGTGAATTGAAAAGAAGAAAAATATTAAAATTAAGAGCAATTAACTATTCTAAAGCATAGAAAAACTGAGAAGGCATGGAAATAAAGGTATGAAAGGAAGCCTTATAAAAGCACTGAGAACCAAAGAAACCTCAAAGGTGACTTAGAATTTTTGGCAAGGTGCTAATAATGTCAGAGAGCATGATAAATAGTACCAAGTGTCTAAAGTTCAAGAAATGGGATGATAGCTGAAAGCCATATCAAATTTCCCAGCCTTACAAGTCTTGTACTATGAAATACTCACCCATGGCCCAGAGCCAGGAGTGCCGTACCTCCTCGCTCTTCCCAGCACAGGAGTTGCAATCCTGTGTCCAAGTATGGGGTTCCCATCATCATGCAAAATCAATAGGGCGTGGAGGGGTTGTGAGCGTAGTCAGCTGCAGTTTTCTCCCTCCAGGATCCTCTTTCCATGGCTGGAAAATAAAAAAGTGTTTGTGTGATGGAAACAAAACAAGGGGTTGCTTTGTGGTGAGTGGTTTTTGGGTTCATTGTGTTTCTGGTGTCATTTTAGAACAGGGAAAAAAACTTAGGCAATATTCTCATTTTATTAAGATGTTTACATAAATATTGAAGCAGCTCACTAAAGTCAATGGGTCTGTATTGGAATATAACTGCTGTGAGTAGAAGATCATATTAATGGCACGAAGACATCTGCTTATAGAGGTCGCATTAGAAAATTATATATTCGTATAATAAATACATGAGACTGGAGAGCATATTTGAAATACCTTGAAATTGGTTAGACTGCTTTCTGCCTACATGAGTGGAATCTAAACTACCAAGCAATCTAGTTGGCCTTTAAGTTGTTGTAAACATCAAGACAGAGCAATACTCTTGCTCTTCAGTGAAAAAATAAAGCTGGCAGGCTAGGACACCACTACCTCATCTGGACTGACTAAGAAATTACTTTTGTAAATATTGTTACTCTTCTCATCTGGAAAAAATGTAAGGGGAGTAAAATATGGTATCGCATTATTCTGCCAGGTTTGATACTCTGGATCATCCAAACATATTTTCATTAAGAATTATCCACATACTTCTTTAGTTTGTGAACAAAACCCTGTTTCAAGAAAGCTGTTTTTTCATTCTTCTCGCCATGGATGAGTTCATCCAGAAAAATTATATGTAATTTTCTGTCTAATAGCTTGCTTTCCAATTATATTTCTGACCCTTCACAGAAAGCGATTTTCATTTTTCCTAATATCAAGCAAGCACGAAAGGAACTGAGGTGACCTCCTTGCCATGCAGGGGGTACAGAATTAATGTAA